TTTTTTTTTTTTTTAATTTTGGCAAAGAAAAATGGGTTAAATTGAAAGGAGATGAGATAATTCAAGGAATGAGGGAGTCTTTTCAGACTCAGTATATTCAGCCACATTGAGTGGGCTTGAGCACAATTCTGCTAACTGTCCTCTGGGGCTGGAAGACCTAGGATGAAATTTCTCCTTGGTCCTCACAGTGGATGCAACCCCTGACACCCGGGAGCTGGAGTGCAATGAGATCAAGACACAAGTGGAATTGGCTACAGGGCGGCTGGGGCTTAGGCAGGCAGCCCGGGAGCACAGCTTTCCTCAAATGCTATACCAGGTAGGCCTCTCCACCTTCCGTCAGCCTGGCAGCAGGCCTATCAAGGTAGCCAGAAGTGCTGCCAGCACCAAAGAAGAGAGAAGTAAGCTTTCCAAAGAAGCCTCATGTGCTAGAGCTGGAGAGTTCTTAGCCAGCCTGCATTGGCATTTGTTGGAACATACTGTGTGTGGTGTTCATTTCTGTAGCAATAGCAATAACTTTGGAAGAGGGGGCTGGTGTGGCTGAAGTGACCCTGTGTTTCTGCTAGCAATATTCCTTAATGCCTTCCTTTAGAGAGAACGGGGCCTCTGCCACCAGGGAAGCTTCTCCCTTGGAGAACGATCTCGAGTGATGTCTCAGTGAGTATGGGGTTTGGTGGAGAGACTCTAAGGGCCAGATGAGTTTTATCCCCTAAAACTTGAAGGGATAGACGTTAAAGGATCCTCAAAGATATTAAGGTTAGATTAAGTGGGGTTGAAGCTTTGGGAGTAAACAAAGTAGAAAAGTATAGAAATCGAGAGGATGATAGAATGAATGAAAGAAAGGGGATTGTACCCAAAGCCAAAATGAAAGAATGCCCTCATAGTCACAACCACTCTGTTAGGATTTTGTTAACCGGAACATTCCTCATCCTGAGCTCCCCTTACCCTCATTTTTCCTCTGCTTCCCCAGCTTCCTGCCCAATGATCTGGGCTTCATTGATACCTACTCTCAGAAGGCTTTTTGTGGAATCTACAGCAAAGATGGTCAAATCTTCATGTCTGCTTGCCAAGGTACCAGAACCTGGTCCTACGAACTGCCTTGGAACAAAGAATGGTCCCATTGACTGAGGCTAGAAAGGCCCAGACCCAAGAACTCAGACCCCGACTTAGGGATGCTGAATCAGAACATGTTTCGCATGATCTAGGGAAGATCCCACAGATACACTGAATGAGAGAGGTCTATTCTGGGGAGGATTCAGGGAGGATATTCCCTAATTCTGCATGGTCCCCACTTACACAGACCAGATAATCCGACTGTATGACTGCCAATATGGCCGCTTTCATAAATTCAAGAGCATCAAGGCCCGGGATGTAGGCTGGAGTGTCCTGGATGTGGCCTTCACCCCTGATGGGAACCAATTCCTGTACTCCAGCTGGTCTGATTACAGTGAGTATGCCCCATACTTCCATTGTCTCTCCAGCCTGGGACCTAAGGTCTCCTCTGTGCCAGGACTCCACACCTTCTCCTGGAAGGATCACTCCCAGAGTCTGACACCCTGACCTTTCTATCTCTTTCCTAGCTTTACTTCCACCCACCTTCACCCAGCCCTGAAAGATTCTTGTTTCTCTTGCTTCTCTTAGTTCATATCTGCAACATCTACGGGGAGGGAGACACACACACTGCCCTGGATCTAAGGTACTGGCTTCCCTTCCTGGTCAGACTCATCAGAAACTTCTCAAGGAAGGCTCTCCAGGAGCAAACCTCTTGAACTGGAACTCCTGCTTAGAGGGAAAAGTACACTGGTTGCAAGTTCCTCTCTGTGGATTCCTGGGAGGGACTCACCCATCCTGTCAGCAGAGGACAAGGGTAAAATAGATAATTGCAGGATTATTTGTGGGTTCTCCCTGAGGCGATCCACATTGTGGCACATGTTTGCAGGACTTCTTTTCCCCTGAGAAGTGTGCCTTACGACCCTTATCAGATTCTATGTAGATGAACAAAGACTGAAGGAAGTCTATTTAACCCAGCTCCTTTTTGCTCTTTTCAGGCCAGACGAACGTCGCTTTGCTGTCTTCTCCATTGCTGTTTCCTCAGACGGACGAGAAGTGTTAGGAGGGTGAGTGTTTGTGGAGTATGTTGCCCTCAGTTAACGAGACTAGAGTCCTCTCAGAGACCAGCTCTGTTGTTACATGGAGTGCACTGAATACCTATACTAAGGCAGCTGTGGAGAACAACCAGCCTTTCTCCAGGGTCAAAGTTTATGACTTACTTCACCTCTTGCTCACCATTTCCCCAGCATGAGATGGGAGGTCTGAAACCTCCTTGTAAACACAGCTAACTCTTCTCCCACTTGCTGTATAAGAAGAGACGGGGGCTTGCCACATGGCGGAACTTCACAACAAGGACTCTCCAGTGCACACATAGCATTGGTCCTTTCAGGCTTGGCTCTAGGACCTTCTTTATCCCTTCCTTTTCAGGGCCAATGACGGCTGCCTATATGTCTTTGATCGAGAACAGAACCGGCGTACCCTTCAGGTACTGCTTCTGAGACTTAGAGCCTCTGCCTCCTGGTCCTTGGCCTCATGGAAGACCCAGAAAGAGGTTCTACATATCCTGGCCTCTTTCTCCCCTAGATTGAGTCCCATGAAGATGATGTGAATGCAGTGGCCTTTGCTGACATAAGTTCCCAAATCCTGTTTTCTGGGGGCGA